CCATCAACAGCCCCAGATTTGCCATGTAGCTGGCCATCAGCTGGTTCTTCACATCCAGGAAGCTGATACCCTGTTCAACATTCATCAAACAATGACATCATGAGACTGAGAGCTAATAGACTGAAAAGGCTGGGGTATATTGAGAGAATCTAGGATACAGAGAGGTAGAAACTGTATACATAAGACGGCTGAGTGGTCACAGACCAAGAAGACAGATAATATCCGTAGATAATATCCATGTAGACCTACAAACACTTAGTATGGTGTGACAGACAGGTGTCACCAACTGGAAAGACAAGGCCAACAAGATTGATGAATGGAGGCGGGTGATATCTCAGATATGAACCTCTAGGGCTCAGAATACTGAAGAAAAAGAAGAAGATGAAGTATCTAAGCCAGGAGTGTATGGCACATAAAAGACCTTAGCTATCTTTCGAATAACGGTCCCAAATTATCAAGGCTGAAAATATACCCTAACAGGGCCTCAGCCACATGTAAACTGCGGACTTCTGGCAGCTTAAATTGCGCACTTCTTGCGACTACCGCCATCGCCGAGAGTATCTTCCATGATGCTACATGCGGCGTGGATTGGGACTAAACTAGATGATTGGGACTCACGAGCAGCAGCTACTGCATCTCCTGCAGCTTCCTTCATTTTATTTGCTCGTGAGTCCCAGCCATCTAGAAACTCTTGGCGGTGGCGCTATATTCCCGGAAGACCGCAACTCGGCGGTGGCGGTATATATAGTCCCCGGATGTCCGCAATTGACATGTGACTGAGGCCCTGTTAGGGTATATTTTCGGCCTCGATAATTCGGAACCGTTATTCGGGGGAATAACCTAATAAATAAGCTTACCAGTTACCTTCTTAGCAAATGTAAAAATTCATTGCCATTTTTTTTTATTATTATTAATTATTTTTGTTTGCTGCTTAAATTAAAATTAATCCTCAAATGAAAAATTGAGTCTTACCTGGGATTGGACATCTGAAGGCATTTCTTGAATCTTGGCTAACATCGACAGCAGATGCTGCTGACACTCCGCGCTGGACTTTTTAACATCTTGTAAAACCGTCAGTGCCTCCGGTAAATCTGCTTCCATCAGGCAAGACATCATTCTGGGAGCGAATTCAACCTCGTGCCCACTTTGTAATTCAATAATAACAGCTGCTAGCCGGTAATAAATTTCTAAATTACGGTTTATTGGTTACCTACTGCGTCTGCGATGACCATAATAATTCAGCTGAAAATATTGACTTTATTTCAAAAGACCCACATGCGCCACGGTTTAGTGAGATCCTTCGATCGCTTGTATAAAAACAAAGCTGAAACCGGAACCTGCCGTCTTCTTCTTCTTCTTCTCTTTCTTCTTCTTTTTTTTTTCTTCTTCTTCTCTTTTTTTCTTTTTCTTTTTCTTCTATTTCTTTTTCTTTTTCTTGTGTTTCAGTTTTCCAAGACGTTGATATTTATTGCTGCAGATGTCACCCACCTCCATTCATCTCTGTGATTCAATTTCTCTTTACAGTTAGTGACCAAGAGTGTTTGTAAGTGTGCTTCAATTTTTCTTTCTCTTCGCTGTTTTCTTTGTCTCCTGGTGTATTCTCATTGAGCCCTTTTGAGCCCACCATCCTCTCGTTTCTTATTTCGCTGTTTAGCAAACTGTTCAGCATGAAAGATGACATCAGCGGTGAAATGTACAGGCTTTCTCTACTTGTGGTCATCCGCTCTCGGTGTGTCACAGGGTAACGTTTCTGTGATGGACACGCTCAAGATGTTGCTTTTTAATGGGCTGGCTGTTCACCCAGCCCAGCCATCATGACTTCGCACACAATCAGATATTTACTTTGTAGAAAGACAGATCTCAACGGCAATTAGATTTTATTTAGAAGCAGGTGTTGTGGCCACATTTTTCTTAAACCTCTCCTGCTTTATGTTTCATCTTCGATGATGTTGCCTACAGCCGACTGACCAAGTGTTGCTCGTATCTGCAGTGCTAAACACAAGTGGCAGTTACCTGCCAGTATCTATATGAGACAGATTACAGCATGGCTTTCGAAGCCCTGCGGGAGAGGGACGTCTGCGATGCTACCGTAGATACTTGTAGATACATCGTCCATCTCAGGTTGCTGCCGTTCTTCGTGTTCAGTACGTCAGGTTCCCTGTGTGGGTTCCGGGGCCCTGTAACATGAAAACAAGAATAGACCCACTGCCTATCCAAAAGCATGTCGTATGAATCGACTTATTGGGAGCTTCCTTCGAAGTCGGAGTGCATCTGCCTAAGAGACAAGAAGTCTGCATACAAATTAGTCAGATCTGTCAAACGAATGGACACGCAACACTCAGGTTCTGGAACCGGACTGCAGTCCAGAAGTGGACAAACAACCAGAACTTTCCACCGGAGTTTACAGCCGGTGAACGCGAAGAAGAAGAAGAAGAACGTCAGATGGACGGTGATCAGTCTGCCGCCCAATGCGACATTAGACAAATCTGAGGATACATTAAACAGAAGCGACCAATCTGGCAAACACAATAACATATTACTATTAAATGACATGTATACTCTCCGCAGCGCGCCATTGCACTCTCTCGTCCACATCACCTTAATGGGCACTCCTAACTCTTTCGGTACCAGACAATTTAGAGAGATGAGGCAAACATGAATTTCAGAAAACACAGTGCATAAAATAGTGAATTACCTACTTTCAAGGTGGCAATAAACATAAAGTTAGTAACTTTTCAGACAACTATGTATCTGTAATATGATCTGACCAACTATAACATTTAAAACCATATATTGCAATGGCGTTAAAAAAAAATCGTGGACTAACATACACACCTAGTGTTGCCTGAAACTGAAAGCTTCCTAATGATAGACAATACCCAGACTACGAAGAACGGTGACCATCAAAGAGCCTAGACCAACAAGTAAATAAGTTCATTAAAAGTCAAAGAATCAAATGGTTTAATCATCTAGTTAAAATCTATTAATATCATCCAGTAGCTATAGGGTGCTATTACACCGACTATGTCGAGGCAGGCTGGTTACGCAGACAGTGGTTTGAGTCGTTGCAAAATGCTCCTGTGTGTGCAGTTACTTTCATATTCGTCACAGGGCATGCAGGCGTTGTTGGCAATGAGAGAGCTGATAGACTGGCAGGTGCTGCATTAACTGAAGATGGTCAGCCCATGGATCAGGCAGACATTGTCAATGCCCTTAGAGAGCTTGGACGTTCTGAGGATTTGGGAAGCAACGTGTCCACATCACTGCTAAGAATACGCGAATTGGAAGTAAAGATCGACACAGCTAAACATGAGAAGCACACCGGATGCACACGAAGTCTTTTTTAAACAACATAGGACTGGCACTATTAACCGCACGACGCTGATGAATATGTTGAGAGGGGAATCTGAGCGCCTATGGATGTGTCCAGAGTGCTGTGAAGATAATCTAACTCATAACTCATACACGTAATACAACATTTATAAAAGCCGTGAACTCACAATAGTAAGCAAGTGTAATTTCTCTCTGCTAAACTTTACGGTATATGCAGTAAATCAAAATAAAAGTAAGAAGAAGATACGGTAACTGATGAACTCATAGTAATATAATGGTTTCTATGCTGCAGATCATAATTAATTCCAGTATGCGGCAATTCCTTCTAAACTGCACAGGAATGTAATGACAAAGTAAGAATATGAGAGGGAAATTGAAGTTTTTGATGTGGCATCAGTCACAAGATCGATGCCACAGGACATGACGACATGGTGGTCGTGGTGGCCAATAACCAGTGTCCATTTCAGCCATTCTAGTCAAGAGTCGGTTACGTCCTGCGTCTGAGTCCCACTTCGGCATTGTCCCACTTTGGCACGGTATCTTGCCACAGACCCGTATGCAGGGCTTGTCCATGTTTAGTCCAGGGAACCAGTCTCAGACTGAGTCTGGAATTCCCGAATGCCACCTTCCATATACGTGAAGCATTCTATTGCACGAGCGGCAATGCCATTTACTGCTAAAGGAGTGACATGAAATACGTCGGTAAAACGGATTTATGACTGGCTGATATGTTCTACTTCTTCTTCTTTGCGTTCGGTTTCGTATACTCAGATCAGACCATCAGGTGGGTTGCCTCTATGAACTCGCATGTCAGCTGCAGGTCCTGCATGGTTCATGTGTCACCTTATTAAATTGCCTACGTTGTCAATGATCTCTTCATGTCACCTTATTAAATTGCCTACGTTGTCAATGATCTCTTCATGTGTCACCTTATTATATTGTCCACGTTGTCAATGATCTCTTCATGTGTCACCTTATTAAATTGCCTACGTTGTCAATGATCTCTTCATGTCTCACCTTATTATATTGTCCACGTTGTCAATGATCTCTTCATGTGTCACCTTATTATATTGTCCACGTTGTCAATGATCTCTTTATCTGTCACCTTATTATATTGTCCACGTTGTCAATGATCTCTTCATGTGTCACCTTATTAAATTGCCTACATTGTCAATGATCTCTTCATGTGTCACCTTATTATATTGTCCACGTTGTCAATGATCTCTTCATGTGTCACCTTATCATATTGTCCACGTTGTCAATGAACTCTTCATGTGTCACCTTATTAAAGTGTTCACGTTGTCAGTGCTCTCTTCATGTCACCTTATTAAATTGCCTACGTTGTCAATGATCTCTTCATCTGTCACCTTATTATATTGTCCACGTTGTCAGTGCTCTCTTCATGTTTCACCTTATTATATTGTCCACGTTGTCAATGCTCTCTTCATGTTTCACTTTACTCAATTGCCTACGTTGTCAATGATTTTTTTCTTTTGTGTCACCTTATTAAATTGTCACACCAGTATGTTTAAAGTACAGGAAATGTACTTGTGCATCGTTATGTCTAGTCAACTCACGGTGGATAAAGCCATCTCTCACCTGACAATGATGTACGTTAAGTCACATGATCTAGGTCATATGATCTTTCCAAGATGGCGGCTGGAGGAATGAAAAGTGTTCTAGGTGTCTTGCTGTTTATTGTTACCTTTGTAGCCGTTTTCTGTGATGTTGCTAATCGAAATGTAAGTAGCCAGTTAAAAGAGCGCTTTATGTTATGCTTGAACAACTGTTATTTATGCGTTGCTTTCATTTTCTAAGACTGTCATTTGTAGAGGGTAGAAAGGGAAGGGCAGGCCAGTTTTAGTTTGAAAAGCCAGTGTTTTTCACACAGTAAGAATTGTCTTGAGTTAAATTAATAATTTTCGTCTGGAACTCACACATTAGGGATTTTAGTCAAAATTTTTATTTTAGGTTTTTTACTTTTAAACCAAGACAGCTGAATAGAGGTTGAAAAACTGAGTCCAACGGTACCTCAATGAAGTCTGTATGTCAATTCTAAGCGGAGATATTGCCATTTCAGTGACGGAAAGTGCCCTCAAAAAATTATAATGGAAAACACAGAAACAAGATGGCGGCGTGTTCCCAAGTGAAAACTGGACCTAAATTTATCATGTTTAATGTCAATAACTCTCAAGTTTTTTGCTGAACCCCTTAGCAACCATATGTCATTGCTTTCAGGACAGCAAGCTCTAACTAAAGTTGTTGCCTTTTTAAAAATATGATGTGATGCAAACCTAAATAACATAAAAATGAGTAAATTTATCAGTATTCATTAAATACCTTATGAATTAATTATTATTAATTATCCAGTGAGTCTTGCAAGACTTATACTGTAATATATATATATATACTTTTATATCTATTCTTCCTGTTATGATGCATCTTTTTTCTATTTGTTGAAAAATGGTTTTTCTCGCACTCTCATTTGTGTGTGTGTGTATGTTTGTGTGTGTGCATACATCTGACCGAAATTTGCTTTATTCCACTGTTTAAAAAATATTTAATAGCGAGTGGATTGACTTCATTGCATCGTTACTGATTTTATATGGCTTTGTCTTTCTCCACAATACTGAACAAATAACGCATGCCGAGAGCTTAGCACAAAGCCTGGATACCGTAGCTCCAGCAACAGCCCTCAGAGGTCTCCGCTAACCAAAAAAATGCATTTTCGAGTCAAACAATGCAGTTGTAAATGAACGTACAACAATCTTCCGAGCGCGAGGTTAACGGCTTGACCACTTTGATACGGAGACCCCTATATTCCTATATTGTTTTATAACCAAGTGAAAATGAGCGCCCCTCTTACTGATTTAACATAATCCCTTTTTCAATCTTTGCGAGTTATTCTTTCATTTTATTGATGATGAGACAATTCACCACATTGTTCCCCTCTTCTTCTTAACTAGTCACTGCTTGATATTTTATTTACTTGTTCAAAATAATCGAAGGTAACCGCTCATGCCCGATTTGTGACTCAGTGCTATGTTTTTCATGGAGTAAAATTATTAAATAAGCTCCTTTGTAATTCGCTTTGGATTTATGTTGTGTTTTCATGGAGATGTAATTCGCTTTGGATTTATGTTGTGTTTTCATGGAGCAGCATTTCATAAGGTAAGAGGAAAAATTGCATTATATTTTATTAACTTATCTATGTCCTACGTGATCTGTGATTAAATATTATTAATCATAAGTTGTAAGTAAGTGAATTTATTCACTTGAAAAATAATATAATATATTATTATTAATTTTATTAATCAACTTTCTAAATCATCATCTATAAGTCAATACTTCAATTTTAAAACAGTATCAATCATAAATAATAACTGTTATTTATACTATTTAAGACAATAAATATGCACCACAAAATCATAGTGCAGAAATGTGTGGCAGACATTTTTTTTAAATGTCAGTCTGGGTGCGGGGAGTGGGGGTCAACAGGTAAAACGGCTTCAAACAGGAACTATGATTCATGCCAAATGATAGGTTATGGCTTAAAAAATGCTATAATGGCTAAAGATTCAAAAAATGATTAAATAACTACTTTATGTTCATTTAAAAGTATAATAAAAAATATTGAAACCACTGTCTGCGTCCAAAATGTCAGTCTGGGTGCGGGGAGTGGGGGTCAACAGGCAAAAAGGCTTCAAACAGGAACTATGATTCATGCCAAATGATAGGTTATGGCTTAAAAAATGCTATAATGGCTAAAGATTCAAAAAATGATTTAATAACTACTTTAATTTGATTTAAAACTATTAATATAAAATGTTTAAACCACTGCCTGTGTCCATTTTCAACGCAAAAATACCCTAGAAATAGTCCATGTTAAAAACGTGCTAAAACATCATTTTCAGGTATTTAAATTTATTAAAACTCATGTGAAATTGAAGTTAAAGAAAGGTAAATTATTAATACAAATAAAACTTGCATTATTTTTGAACTGTTTTTATAAATAACTAGATTAATTAATCTGAGATAAACAGTTCGTTTAGGCCACGCGGTAGCCATTTTGAGAAATCTCCGATTTAGCTCTAAGAAGTGACTGGGAAGAAATTGAAACTGTATATCTTATGAAGTACAGATTCCAGCAAAACTGCCCATCCTTACGTAAAAATGGACACAGAATCTAAAAATGTCATTTAATAGTATTTAAGTTCACTTTAAAAAGGAGATATTAAAGAAATTTACTTGGCATATGACAAATAGTGAAATTTATTACGCTCAATAAAGACCGCTATTCAATTTAGGCGTCGTTTGATAGAGTACCCTCTTTTGAATGACGAAGAGCGCATGTCATCAATTCTGAACTGCTAGAATCGCAATCAAAAAAATTAATTTATAATTCGTTATGAAACAAAACATTTTCACGAGTCCGCCGATCCCTCTGCGCACCAAACTGCGCAACTTTCGTTTTGACTTTGTTTACATTGGAGATCGTTATCTCTACACACATGCTCCTGTTTAAAAAAAAATATGTCCTATCACTGTGTCGAATGAATAGTAACAAACAGTATCTTTCCCGTAATGTATTAAATATTTGACGTTCTTATTTGACAGTCAGTACACTTACACTACATTATGACATGGTAGTAACTGACTCAGAAAGTCTGAGAAAGCATGCTGAGAGGAAGATGAGGACAGGCATGCTTTGTGCAGAGTGGCATGCTTTGCTTCAGAGGTCATAGATCAGTGGCATTGTCTAGATCGTTTCTTCAGGTGTGTTGGGAAATGAACAGGCTGACAGGCTCTGCACAACTAAGTGGAATACTGATGCATGGTAAGGCAGTCGTGGCCAAGGCCTTATGGAAACACATAATTTTGAGGAGCAAATGGATCATCACAGTGACAGTCACAGTTTTTGTAAGAGTGATGCAGCAAGGAATAACAAGTAGATCTGGCTGGCCAATATTTAACGCTTAGAGGACTGGCTGGACAGAAATAATAATCAGACTGCTACTGGCACTACGGACTACTGGTATTGGAACTCTGCATTGGCTGCTAAAGATGGGGAAGGAATGCTTATGGGAATACCCAGAGTGCTGTGAATCAGCTCAACTCATTTTACAGTACACTTTACTATACAATGTCTTGTCAGTAGTCACATGTATGCATATACTAAATAGTATACATACTTTAAGTGGTAGTAGCCATTCAGGAAGGTAAAGAAAGAGGGTATTTCAAGACAATAGCTAATATATAAAATATTAGACTAGACTTTGATATATTTTAGGCAACGACGTATCAGGTGGGTGGCCAATTATTTTTTTGGATCACTTTTCCTTACACGACAGTTCCTAGAGAATTAAGAAAACAGGTACCGATTCAACTTCTGGGTGTGTTCCTGGCAGAGGTCAGAACTTGATTCATGTGACTGTGATTTAGATTAGATTTAAATTGGGTAATTAACAACTTGGGGCTTTTTGATCACTTCTCCTTCCAAGACAGTTCCTAGAGAATTAAGAAAACAAGTACCTATTTTAATGAGGTTTAGTCGGCTTCTGTGTGTGTTTCTGGCAAAGGTCCGTACTTGAGTCGTACGACTGTGGCTCAGATTAGACTTAAATTGGGTATTAACAACTTGGAGCTCAGCTTTGGGTTTTGTCTAGCTGCGCGACTTGTACCTTTGACAGCTTTAAATGACTCATTCTTCACGGCTGGCCACTGTGAGTTTTAGCGATCAGCGTCACAGTTTAAAATTAAAATGTCTTCGTGTAAAAAACAATACTGTGGACAGAATATATTCTGTTTCATTTTACAGCTTTTTATATTGAAGTTCTTAACCTTTGTATGTAATTCAGTGAGTTTCACACTGCTGTTTCTGGTTTTGCATTCTCACATTTTTTGCAAAGCCTCAAAGATACAAACAGCCGGAAATGGAGAGTGAGAAGCAACAACAAAATTCATAATCTTTTTAAATCACCTTTGATCACTGGCATCATGAGAGCTAATAGACTGAAATGGTTGGGGCATATTGAACGAATGTCAGAAAACAATAGAAGTAAAAACTGTATACACAAGGGAAATGAATGGTCATAGACCACGAGGCAGATCAAGAAGACAATGGAGAGATAATGTCCAGGCAGACCTGCAAACACTCGGTGTCACCAACTGGAAAGAGAAGGCCAACCAGAGAGATGAATGGATTCAGGTGATATCTGCAAAATGAACCTCAAGGGCTCGCAATGCTGAAGAAGAAGAAGAAGATTATCTCATGCACAACTTGCATATGATGGGTTCCAGGTACCCATTTTGGGAGGTGGGGGGGGGGGGGGAATTAGACCCACTGCCCCACTTATCAAAGTTATTAAAGTCGACAAATTAGGGGTTTTTCCTTTGAAGTTGAAGCTCATTGCCTGAAAAGCAAGGAACCAGCGGTCTTCTTACATTAAGCAAGATCTATAAAATAGATGTGCACACAAAACTAAACTTTTGGAACAATAAGCAGATGAACTGCCAGAACTTTCAGCAGAGTTTACAGCTGGTGAACGTGAAGGAGAAGAAGACGAAGACATGAAAATGTGGAAAATATCCTTTTTTTATGACTGGCGTTTATATAAAACTGTATTTTAATAGACTTTTTTCTTCTAAATCTGGAAGAAATAAATTTTGTAAAAATAAAATTAGAATTGAAAATAATAGAATCTAATTCTGAAAAATATGGAATGAAAGTTAAATGCATTCAGAAGCATATGCCTGAGGAAAATGATGAACATAAAATGAGATGAATTCAAGAGGATTGAGGAAGATGTTTCTAGTTTTAACAGTTAAAAGATAGAAAGTATGGTTTCTGAGAAAAATGTGAGTAACTTAGGCCTTCAGAGTAACAACAATTGTTTGGAAATGGTAATGAAAGAAAGAATGATATATGCAACTATAAGAAGACGACAAGATAGTTTTTTTTTTTTATGTGAGAAGAAGAAAGGCATTTGAGAACATCATGGGGACTGGATAGATCAACACTAGTTGAGGTAGAAGAATATCAGTAGAATCAATCCAGAATGCCACGTGTAAAGATCTGTAAATAAAATTGACACTAGGCTGAGATTTGTAACTGTAGTTTTACATTTAAAAATTTTTTTCGAAGCCAGACTTACAACGTTACCTGTCATAAAATAAATATAATCATGTAATCAATTTGATTAACATGGAACACTTTTTTTGTAAACGTTACTTGTATTTTAGGTGTCGGTTAGAGAACTAGCCCTAACACGTTCAACTGTATTTCCTGGGTTTCCGCGGTGTACTTCCCCTGTGTGGGTTCTGGAGCTCTTTTTTAAAGGGAAAAAAAAAACAAATAATAGACCAGCTGCCCCCCCCCCCCCCCATCCCCTAACAATCATCATCATTATCATCAGGTGCCTTGTCGACACACCTCCATGCCATGCAACAAGACTCAAGAATCTTCTCTTGTTGTCTTCCTCTATCCCTCCTTCCACAGATCTTTCCAGTGGTCACAACATGTTCTATTTTCCCTCTTCTCATAACATGGCTGATAAATGATGACTGTCTCCTTCTGATCTCTGTGATAAGTTGTCTTCGGGCTCCTGCCTCTTTCCCCCTAACAAGCATCTCATAATAATAAATTAATTAGGGATGTTTCCTTTAAAGTTGGAGTGCATCTTTATGAGAGGCCAGTAACCAGGATCAAGACCAAAGTCCAGGAGTGGACTAACAACCAGAACTTTCTGCCAGAGGTTACATTCGGTATATGCTAAGAAGAAGAAGAAGAGCTTCATGCACTGAAGGTTCAGTTTTGGACTCATGTTTATTCGTTAGTTATTGCAGTTTTTCTTGGAGATCCCTGGGTGTCATTGCTGGAGCTATAGGCTTCATGCAGTGCTCTTGTTGGTGGGTGACTGTTCACTTTGTGGAGAGAGTACGCCATTGGGATAAAACTCAGTGAAATGAAGAAGCCCGTCCTCTTAAAGCATCTGTTGTTTTTTTCTTCACGATCACATGCACAACTCAACTTGACTTATGGTAATAATGTATTTTTCTAAAAGTGGCCGTTCTATTTTTCAGGTTACACTGACACCGATGCCCGACTGTGACAAATACAAACTGGAGTGCGATATAGCAAAAGATAAGGGCTTTGTTGTTGTCTTTGCCACAGCTTATGCAAAAGGTGACAGTCTCTTATATGCCTTCAGCAGTATTGGTATGCCAACTATAGCTCTGGTCAGGGTCACTGGTGATAATGCATCCATGCATTTTAACTGGACAAAGCTTATCAATGAATCATCTCTGGAAGAGGCCATCACGATAGAAGACCACACTAAAGTTGCATACCGAATGGGACTAGCATTTCCAAGAGTGAGTTTTCTTGTTTGTTTATGTGTTGATGATATTTTCTGCTATGTATTGATGCTTATGTCATGATTGAAAGGATATACACATTTTAAAATTGTTCTGTAATGCAAACCACCTTCAATATATTTTCAGCGTATTCCAAAAGAACATAAGGATATAAGTTATGGACTGTTTCATAATCACTAAGAAAGAACTACTACTATTTGCTGACAACCAGTGCTTGTTCTGCAGCAAGAAAGATAGACTGCAAGACCACATTAACAGGTTAAGCTCAGCATGCAGTAAATATGACATCAGTATTAGTGCAGACAAAGCTCAAACAACGCAAGCCAGTCCACTAGGTATACAGCTGAATAGTTCTGGCCTGAAACAACGCAAGCCAGTCCACTACGTATACAGCTGAATAGTTCTGGCCTGAAACAATGCGAGCCAGTTCACTACGTATACAGCTGAATAGTTCTGGCCTGAAACAATGCGAGCCAGTTCACTGCGTATACAGCTGAATAGTTCTGGCCTGAAACAATGCAAGCCAGTCCACTACGTATACAGCTGAATAGTTCTGGCCTAAAACAACGCAAGCCAGTCCACTACGTATACAGCTGAATAGTTCTGGCCTGAAACAATGCGAGCCAGTTCACTACGTATACAGCTGAATAGTTCTGGCCTGAAACAATGCGAGCCAGTTCACTACGTATACAGCTGAATAGTTCTGGCCTGAAACAACGCAAGCCAGTCCACTGCGTATACAGCTGAATAGTTCTGGCCTGAAACAATGCGAGCCAGTTCACTACGTATACAGCTGAATAGTTCTGGCCTGAAACAATGCGAGCCAGTTCACTACGTATACAGCTGAATAGTTCTGGCCTGAAACAACGCTAGCCAGTCCACTACGTATACAGCTGAATAGTTCTGGCCTGAAACAAATTATGGAATTTAACAATCGAGGAAGTGGAATCATAGAAGTCGACAAAATTGACAAAGAATTAGAAACTAGGTGTCAGAAAGCAAGTGCACTTATATACCAATAGTCACCGTTGTTAAGATATCTAAACATAATTATAAGTTTTTGTATACATACCAACATTTAGTTGCTAGTACCAGATGTTACCTAAAGCCCTTATATGCAGAATGACCACTTGCAAGGTGAGATGCCTGAAAAAAGCCACCAATCCAACCATCTAAGAGTGAAAAATGTGACACTATCAGATTGTGGGAACAACACCTTGTACCAGATTAATGGAGAACCAGCAGATCAAGTGGTTTTGCTCTCTCGTTAGAATGCAGCAACATCAAGTACCATCACATGCACTGTATTTCAGAAGATCAGCAACAAGAGCAAGAGGACGGCCACAAAAAGATGACAACATTAAAGACACTTTAAACCTTCACGGCATGACAATAGCTATTGCTAGCAAGCGTGCACTGGGTCACAGATTATGTCTGCCTAATGGCAGGAGTGGTGTATGTTGATGATGCTGTTGACTAAGAAAGAAAATTGGAGCAGAACTTAAATATTGCAAACTGATCTTAGAGTACCATGGACCAAGGCAAGGAAAATACCAACATTCTTCAGGATCTGATCACAGAGATGGACTGGCTCATAGATATGCTAAATATAACACAGAATGTGACTAGATGATAACGTGATGATAGTAATGATCTCGATGATACACCCCAGTTTACTGTGATATGTTTTTCTAATCATGCACTGTGCATATCTTGAGAGGAGAAAAAACATTTGTTTTATATCCTTTAAATAGTGTCTCAGAACTAACCCCCAGCATTCTTTGACTGTTTTATGGTTTTAACTGGAGCAGCCCTTGTTGCCTGGGGATGGGAATGTTAAGGTTTCAAGTGCTTACGGTGCTGGACTTCTTTCAAACTTGGCTGTCAGGTCGACCAAGCCTAAAATAGGTACCAGCTAAAGTCCTGGCAGGTAGTGGTGACCGATGTGATGTTGACCACATCTCCCACAGAGTGTTGATTCTCAACGCGTGTCCAATCCAGCACCGTCTTTTCTTCACCTCTTGGTCCACTGGAAATTGTTTAGCTCAACATCAGTGATTCCATCATACCATTTAATTCCTTCTATTCCATGCAGGCACCAGTTAATGAATGTTTGTAGTTTATTAGTAATTATTTTAGTTGTTCTGCATGTTTTCACTCCATACTGCAGTACTGATTTGTTTTCACTCCATACTGCAGTACTGATTTGTTTTCACTCCATACTGCAGTACTGATTTGTTTTCACTCCATACTGCAGTACTGATTTGTTTTCACTCCATACTGCAGTACTGATTTGTTTTCACTCCATACTGCAGTACTGATTTGTTTTCACTCCATACTGCAGTACTGATTTGTTTTCACTCCATACTGCAGTACTGATTTGTTTTCACTCCATACTGCAGTACTGATTTGTTTTCACTCCATACTGCAGTACTGATTTGTTTTCACTCCATACTGCAGTACTGATTTGTTTTCACTCCATACTGCAGTACTGATTTGGCATTAGAATGAACAATTATAAGTTTGGTATTAGTTTCCTTTTGTATTTGTATTTTAATATCTCTGTCAGTTACCCCATCTTTATCTACATTACTCCCCAGACAGAGTGCAGATAGTCTGTAAAATATAGGTCTGGCTCTATGTGTCTAATATGCTGGAAAATGTGGAAGAAAGCACATTTGGTCATCAGCACACTGACCACTGTTACTTCCCAGGACATTACCTGGTACCAGGTTTATGCTGGGTTGACCAGGGATCCAGGAATCCCTTCATTAACTCGCTTTTATGTTTTGTTTGTTCACCTGCTTCTAAATTCTTTCCAGCTTCTTGAATATAACGATGAAGACGATCAAGCAGATCTCAAGCACATGAATTCAAAACCCAACAATGCCTCATACTGGAAAATACGAGATTTTAGTGACTTTAACTGGTCACTGGACTATGGCAGTCAGACTAAGAATGCTTTTATCTTGACCGCCACCTCGGAGCAAGGATCTCTGATTGACACAAACTCTACTGGAAACTGGAGTATAAGTTTTAAGGTGAGTCCTTACTGGTTTTTTTTTTTTTTTTTTAAATTTTGTTTACATTTAAAAAAATCGATGTGTATAATATGCCGGAAAACGTGGAAGAAAGCACATGTGGGCAATGCGGTCATCAGCACACTGACCGCTGTTACTTGCAGATTAGTTTTGTTGCTGTTGCAAAGCTGAACTTACATAGGGTCTGAGCAGCAGAAATGATGTTTTAGCCAAGGAGAGCAACACCAAATAACAAGTCTACCAGCCCTATCCTTTCCAGGTCCAAACCCTTATGAACAGAAAAATCAAAAAAGCAACTGGGGGGAAAAAAATCACTGGTTATAATGATGAAAAAGATTTAGTTAAAGCTTGAAGTACATAGTGCATCAGTTTCACATAGACTATATTTGCAGTGGAAGTGGCCAGAAGTTTTAATATGCTGTAACCAGATGTAAACAAACACATAATGCAATGGCTTGGATTCATGTGGGCATGTGCTATGAGGCTATAAAGCACCATGCGTTACATTCATCATTTTAACTTGTGTATAGTTTTGCTTCCAGAAAGCAGTGGCAAACTACTGGATGTAAATTCGCCTAGTGAAACCACACAACAGCCAGGGGCTACTGGGGTTGGTTTTGCAACGTCCTGTAAAGGATACGCAACTAACCATACCATAGTTTTGCTGCATTTTAATTTTTTTTAACTTCTTGTGTTTAGTTTTCCCTTATTTCTTCCTTTAAAAAAATCTTTTTTGTCTTTTTGAAATTCATATTCCATTCATTTGTATCTTCGTCATCTGTCTGCATATTGTTTATTAGTTTTTCATCTGTGTTGATGATGATTATGATATGTATTAATACAGCAGTGCCAGCTGGCAGCATTTTAACATGATAGAAAAGTTAGCCAGGGGCAGACATAAAGATAAATGCATGGATGAATCATGACAAAAGCACTGACCTAACTGATAATTCTGATAATTGTGTAGATAATGAACGACTGCTCAAGCTTATCATCAGAGCACATGATGATGACAGGATGGCATAAAAGCTGGCAAACATTATTGCCACATATGAAGGGGCTTCAAATTAAAATCTTAATATTGACAGTTTAAAGATGGCCACCCCACTTTTGACATGCACCAAAGAGGAGCAGCATTCTGTTATCCATTTTTTTAAATTAGTGAGGGCTAATCAACAGTCTTTCACAGAAGTCACATCATTTTGAAACTGTTCACTCCACTCTTATACTTTCTGGACTGACAGGCTTGCATCCCTGTGCTGTATCTTCATTCACTGATGAATGTTTATAGATTTCAGCCATTCACTGATTTAAAAAACAAGAATACAGATACGGTTTTTGCTTGAAGCCCCCTCCTAGTACAGATAATGAAACTGTTATCTTGCAGGTTATTCCAAACTGTTTGTTAGAAGACAATTATTCATTTCTTGTAACATTTTCATTACAGTTTACCGTGCAAGGAGGTTCAGGTAGGGATCCTGAATTGCCAAGTTTGAAGTTTGGGGCCAACCAAACCCAGTTTGATTTTGTGATTTCCAACTTTACTCCTACATATGCAAGTTCCAGATTTGCTGTAGAGACGGTTCTAGTGAGTCAGTCGTCAAGTGAGATGAATGTTGACACTTCTAAATCTATTGATGATGAATACTCACCTGGTGTATTTCAGGTATTTTATATTTAATTTTATTGTTTGTTTGAAATCCACCAGTAATAATTTCTGCTTCTTAGTGTTTGCCAGAAACTTCTGGTTAATTGTCCACTTCTGTTCTTTGGTCTTATTCCAGAACTGGAGTTTTTCATCACATCTGTTTTGCAGATCTGGCTTATTTATATGCAGACTGTTAGTTCCTTGCCTCTCAGGCAGATGCACTCCAACTTCCCCATTATTGAGTCCCAAAACCCACACAGGGAGGTAATAAAATAATGTTGTTTTTATCTTTGGTAAGTCAGTCTTTGTGAGGTAAAGGTCTCAACATTATTTGTTTTAAAAATGAATTATATATATTACTTAATTTTAACAGATCGCTTCTCCTCTGAGGTATTTTTTTTCTGTCTTTTCTTTATTCATGTTTTTTGTGTGTGTGGGGGGTATAAGATTGTTTGCGACATCCGTGGCTTAGGCGCTGTGAGTCCGACTCGTAATTCCAACGTACCACGATCGAAAGCCACTGCAGCTGTGTGGATTTTTATCATGGTATGGGGCGTCGCAAGTCGACTCAGTCTAAAATGGGTACCAGAATGGCTGTCCTGGGGAAGTAGAGACGGCCGGTGTAATGCTGACCACATTACCCACCTAGTGCCGATGGTCTGTAAAAATATTGGCGCTGTTCCCATATACCTGATACGCCTAAAGGCGTCAAAAAGGAATCTTTACTTTACTCTTTATAAGATTGTTAGATCAACTGTAGTGATATAAGTAGTAATTTTTTACCTTTGAAACTCAGTCAATCCATCCACAACCTTCTGCCTCAGTTACTGCCAAATTACAGTCAGTGATGTCTGGTACATATGTTCTTCCATGCCATGATGCCAGTCTGTCAAACGTCCTGTTTGTGGCGGCTAGATGTTCGCTTGTTCTGTGGCGTCTAGATGCCCGCATGTTCTGTGGCAGCTAGATGCCTGCATGTTCTGTGGCGACTAGATGTTCGCATGTTCTGTGGCATCTAGATGCCCGCATGTTCTGTGGCGCCTAGATGCCCGCATGTTCTGTGGCGGCTAGATGTTCGCATGTTCTGTGGCATCTAGATGCCCGCATGTTCTGTGGCGTCTAGATGCCAGCATGTTCTGTGGCGGCTAGATGCCCGCATGTTCTGTGGCGGCTAGATGCCCGCATGTTCTGTGGCGTCTAGATGCCCGCATGTTCTGTGGCGGCTAGATGCCCGCATGTTCTGTGGCGCCTAGATGCCCGCATGTTCTGTGGCGGCTAGATGTTCGCATGTTCTGTGGCATCTAGATGCCCGCATGTTCTGTGGCGTCTAGATGCCAGCATGTTCTGTGGCGGCTAGATGCCCGCATGTTCTGTGGCGGCTAGATGCCCGCATGTTCTGTGGCGTCTAGATGCCCGCATGTTCTGTGGCGGCTAGATGCCTGCATGTTCTGTGGCATCTAGATGCCCGCATGTTCTGTGGCGTCTAGATGCCCGCATGTTCTGTGGCGGCTAGATGCCCGCATGTTCTGTGGCGGCTAGATGCCTGCATGTTCTGTGGCGGCTAGATGCCGGCATGTTCTGTGGCGGCTAGATGCCCGCATGTTCTGTGGCGGCTAGATGCCCGCATGTTCTGTGGCGGCTAGATGCCCGCATGTTCTGTGGCGTCTAGATGCCCGCATGTTCTGTGGCGGCTAGATGCCCGCATGTTCTGTGGCGACTAGATGTTCGCATGTTCTGTGGCATCTAGATGCCCGCATGTTCTGTGGCATCTAGATGCCCGCATGTTCTGTGGCGGCTAGATGCCTGCATGTTCTGTGGCGGCTAGATGCCCGCATGTTCTGTGGCAGCTAGATGCCCGCATGTTCTGTGGCGGCTAGATGCCCGCATGTTCTGTAGCGACTAGATGCCCGCATGTTCTGTGGTGGCTAGATGCCCGCATGTTCTGTGGCGGCTAGATGCCAGCTTGCGAATCAGAAGGTCGTTTGTTCGTGTCCTGGCAGAGCTGGCCTTTTTTTTTTTCAAGAACGACCTTGACGACCCAGCCTTGAGTGGGTACCAGATGCAGTCTTGGGAAGTAAAGGCAGCTGGCATAATGCTGACCACATCACCCACCAAGTGCCAACTGGTCTATAAAAATATAGGTCTTACCTTAAATTCCCAAAACGTCTAAAGGCTTGAAAAAGTGACCTTCACTTTACCTTTTTACTTACATCGTCTTCTCATCATTCACCTACAAAACAGTTTTTCAGCAACCTTCACATCTTTCACTAAATTACTGATTATCCATAATTCACTTATGTACACCAGCATTTGTAGCTCTTAATATTTATCTGAACTGACAAAGATATATTGTGGAGAATATTGTTCGTCCTGTGAAATATTCTTGTGCTTGGACTATAGTACATATTTTATCAGTGTATAAGATACGTTCCCCAAATTTTGTAGTTTAAAACTTTGTGTTGGTCATCTTACATATGGAGTGTAATTAAAATATTTAAATCTTGATTCTAGGCTAACAAGAAAGAGTCTGCTTATAAAGGGGAGCGTCTTATATACGAAAAGTTAACTCTTTGAGTCCCAAGGAATGCTTCATACGTTCATAGGTTCCTAACTAGAAGCCCAATGAAAGCATGATGTGCCAATTTTATAACTCTATTTACTACCCTCTGGGCCTGTGATGCTAAACCCCCTGGGACTCACAGAGATATGCTACATCAACATGCTGCTGTGCTTAAGATTATTTGCCTTAACTTTGATGTTATTTCTACAGATGATAAATTGGCTGTCCAATCCATCTGAACAACAGTCAACTGGATTTGTTCAGTGGAAACCTGTCTGTTATACTACCAGTGATAGGAGCCGCAGCACAGCAACCAAAGTGAAAGACTACGAACTCTTGGATTTGACGGAACAAGAAAACATTACCAGATATTTGAATTCTAGTATAGTTTTATCAATCTTTGGAGCTGATTTGTACAATGAGAAGGTGGTGACTTCACGAGCTACAAATATTTCATTTGGTCTTTCACAAGATCGGTTCTATGATAACACCAACTACACTGTTTGGTGAGTATTTTTTTCTTATCACACACAAGGGAATATTTTCAAAATATTGTTTTCAGTTTTGGGACTTCATGCAGCCTTCTTCATCATTAATTCCTCTACTTCCTTTCTCTTGTTGCTGCTCTTCTTTTTTCCTTATCACCTTCCTCTAGACTGGAGTTCTTCATCCCACTGTTGGGCCTTGGGGAAAAGTCTAGATGGGCAGCCAAAATGTTTGCCTAATCATGTAATGGGGTCTTTTAGATAGCGTATGTTTGTGTGAAAGGTCTTTATATAAAAGATGCTATAATCTCTAAGCAACAGAGCATGTTGCATTAGCTGAAAATGTTAATTTTGGGACATCGGATTTAACAAATGAGCTGTCATCTACATTTGTTTTTCTGTGTGTGTTTGGTTAGATGTCAGGTGTGCCTTGAAACTTGAAAAAAATTACCGCCCACCTCCCATTTTGGTGATCTTCTTCTTCTCCTTCTTCTTCTCTTCCATCTTGTACCTCATCAAAGTGTCAGGGAGAGATGTAATGTTCTTTGATGAGCTCTGTCAAGAGCACTATTAAGACTGATGTTCATTTCTGTAAGGCTGTTCTTTATGCCATCACTCCATCTTTTCCGAGGTCTTCCACTCGCTCTGTACCCGTTGTAACGTTTTAGTGTGGCTCGCTGTGGCAGATAGTACCAGGGCATTCTTGTTAGGTGTCCAAACCCTTCATTTGTTGTTCTTTGATGACCTGTAAGACTGGCTTTAATCCGAGCATTCGTCTGATTTTATGATTTCGTATTCTGTCTTTTGGTGATCTGCGGGTGTAACAATATTGAGAAACACTGCTCTGTATCTCCTTCTTTTCATTGTCTCCTATACCCTTTTCTTATTCAGCTAATTAATAAGTCAGAAAGGCTTCTTTTTTTATATGTTTTGTCAACTACCACATAAACAGCTGTGCCATAAACGTGTTTGGGATAAGAGGTAAAGCCTTAACATACCACAAATACATCCGGAGCACATACACTTGCAGCCCTTGATAGGCAAGGCCTGACTGGCAAAGAAAGTATGCAGAATAGCTAAGAAACAGATTTAGTTCATGGTCATTTGGGAACAAAACATTAAGAGATGCAGATTAACAGTGGTTTTGATCTTAGTATGTAGTATCTGTTAATGTTAGTATTAGTGTTTAGATAAAGTTAGCCTACAGGTTGCTGTTAGTTTTATTCATAAAGGTCTGTTAGTTTTATTCATAAAGGTCTGTTAGTTTTATTCATAAAGGTCTATTAGTTTTATTCATAAAGGTCTGTTAGTTTTATTCATAAAGGTCTGTTAGTTTAATAAACTCAACAGTGACAGAACCACAACACCATCCTATTGTAACTACTTCATATGTAAACAGCGAAATGTATGTGTCCTCATCTGATGGTGTCTGCAGTTTTGATATATTTTTAAATATTACAACAACATACTATCCAGCATTGCTCATATAAGTTAGAGTAAAGCAAAGGTCCCTTTACACGCCAGTGACACATTAGGCATTGAAGCTAGGCTTATTTTTTTATAGATCAATTGGCTCTCGGTGGATGACATGGTCAACATCAAGCCCAGTGCCTTTACTTCCCAGGACATAACCTGATACTTATTTAAAGTTGGGTTGACCTGTGAGCCAAGATAATGTTTGTGAACACACACAAATCTGGCACCAAGCAGATTTGAACCCACGACTTTTGGATCTGCATGCAAATGTCTAGCCGCCACACTACGGCAGCTCCTACTCATTGTTGATCACTGATTTAAGAATCAACATAATAGCACACCAGGCATACTTATAAGTGCTCCGTCTCCTGCAGCAAATGTCTTGAGGTGTAGCTGCTAACAGTTCCTGTAGCACACTGATTATACACACGTCGTTCTCTTCCCCTCATCCGTCTCTCCTTGCTGGTTCCACTTCTAATTCCATGTTCACACATTCTTACACATGATATTTCATGTAATCTCATGTTTTCTGTCAACATTCAATCATACATGGTCTTCAGAATATCTCCCTTGTCCAGTACTAGTGTTCCCACAGCTTTCACTCATGTAAGTAATGTAAACGTTCAGGGTGATGGGGGAAGACAGCACTAAGCCCACACCTTTTAAAAGCATATCTTGTCATCTTCATGAATCAGTTCATATTTTGGCATCTTTCCTTCCTATTACTAAAAGCTGTTAAGAAATTTATGTTATTGTTTTCTTCATTCTCCATTTCTGTAATTTTTTCAGCTGTCACGTTGATCTAGTAATGATGTCTGTGTCTTTCTGATGTTTATACTCACAGAGCATGTTAAGAAAGGTGTAGACAGGCATGCTCCGTGCAGAGTGGCAAGCATAGCTTCAAAGTTCCCGGGTAGTTAGCATCCTTTGGATATTTTCTCTGGGTGATGCCTATGTGTTGGGAAAAGAGCAGGCAGATGGACTGGCCAGTTTTGGGCTAATTAGTGGTGAACTGATGTATGACTATCTGGATGATGTGAGGACCCTCTAGGAGCGAGTGAACAGTGCCGAAGAACAGATAGATCATTACAGTATGAGGAGAATGTGCACTGCAAGAAATTACAAGGGGATCTGGCCGACGCTCGACACTCAGGGAAAAGGCGAGACAGATATATAATCAGACAGTTACTGGTACCATCGGAATTTAAACTCTTCGTTTGCTGCTGAAGATGGGGATGGAGTGCTTATGAATGTGTCCAGAGTGCTGTAAAGTTGATTCCTTATTTAATATTCTGATGTTTAAGTTTACTTTGGGTCTTGGACTCTTTTAAAACATGATTACAAATTTTAGCCGCATAAGGAGTTTTTAGCGTTCTTCTGGAGAAACACATTTCTTAGGGGATATAATTTTACAAAATGAAGATAATCACTTTAACGTTACTCTTTCAAAAAAAATTATAAAAAATTAATGATTGGTTTATTTATAGGTATGTTTTTGAAATGTCATACTTTCAGGTCTGCTGCGATTGGTTTTGGTACTCCGCCTCAAGATGCAATCTCCATGACCGTCATCGTCACAATTGGTGCGGGGTTGGGTCTCCCTGTCATTATACTCATACTCGGAGGAGTCTACACCTGTGTTAAGAAGAGGAGGTCCAAGCAGACGGAGTATGAGCCAATTACTGGGACAGTCGATAGAACTGAACTGGTAATCAACTAAACCTAACCAGAAAATACCTGATCATTCCTTCTTGCCTGTGTGGACACTTCCTTGTACATTTGAGTGTGTGCTCATATTCACCAATTCGTGCTATTACCCATCCAAAAAACTCATGAAGAAATAATATTGTAAATACGTCTGCTTTGCTCATTTGTGGCATTGTTTGCTTTGCTTTTTTCTTTTAGTGAGTTAAAGAAAATGGTCAGAGACTATAATTATGTTATTATTTTTTACAAATATTATTGTGAAAATATTTCTCTCATTAGTGAGTTTTATATTATTGGTTCTAAAAATCATTTAGTCATTCTTCTTCTCCTGCTTTGAGTGTGGTTGTGTGGTTTACAGCTAGACTGCTATATCTTCGTCCTTCATGAGAAAATGTCAAAACTTCAGCAAACCCTTAATTAATTGTCCTTTACCGCATGCTTGTTAGGGAGTAGTACGTCTGTTTTCTCTTCCCCTCCTTTCTCCCCCCCCCTCCCAATGGGACCCAGGAACCCACATGACATGGAGGTATTTTGTCATAGTCAGTTACACATTGAGTTACAGTCAGTTACTGACTGTATGTTTATATATGACATTTAAGCATAGCCACTCTTGACTTCTTTTTTTTTTTTTTAGTTTCAAAGTTCATTACTTCCTTAATTGCTCTATATTTGTAATCTGTAATGGTACATGGTCATTTTTTTTATTATCTAAAAACTTAAAAACAATATATATATAGCATAAACTCTGAACTGATCTCATTGTAAATTAATCATGTCATTAAAAATCATAATGTGAATGTATAAGTCTACAGATAACTAGCACAAATTATGTTTAATTGTCTTTCATTTCATTTATAACAGTCACATTATGGATGCATTAACTAACACATTCATTTGTTGTTTACTGACAGAGTAAAAAGATACTATTAAAAAAAAAATCATTGGCAAAGGTCAATAATAAATGCAAAGAAAAAACTGTATTTGTTTCATTTGAAATCAAATATTCTGAATTTATGGAGGGATTAATCATTAAACATGAACATAGTGAAGCGGTAGATGGAATACAATCCCTGGGGCCTGAACAAAATATATCAGGTGACTCATTCTACGCCCTTATCTGAATTCCAACATTAAAACAGGCTAATTATAACATCAAAAATGCCATTTTATTTTTCTTCACATGAACTTCCCCCTCCCGGAACGTTATTTTTAATCAATCCAGGCTTCCTAAACACTGCCCAGGAATAAGCAAAACCCAATGCCATTAACTAGGTGTCTCTGGGACAGGTCTAGTAGAATTGAGAGGTAAGCAGCATTTATGGGAATAAGTCACACACATAAAAACCAGGTTCATGGCTTTAGGGGATGACTGGGTTAATATTTATTCAGCTTACATAAAAATGAATATGGTTTTGATTTATTATACTATCCACGCTAGTCCAATAAAAGATTGCTTTTCCAAATCTACCTTTGTTAAGCGCTAGATCTTATGGCTTTAGCACTAGAGAGCCTAAGCATGTATTCTAGTGCCAAATGTTGCCATGTCATTGATGGCATTGCATCCATGTTTGTTTTGTATACCTTTGATGCCTGATGTTCATTGTTTTTCTCTTCTTTCTCTGGCTCTATCCAAATCATTTTCGCTATATTCTCTCATCAGTAGTTGATCAAATTTCTTTTTTTTTTTTAAAGATGACCTGACCATTTTATGTGTCACTCAATTACTTCAATACTGGATTTTATGTCTATATAATTTTCAGTGTCATCTAATTGCATTGTCTTTTCTGGAAAACCTACAAGCATTTTATCTCACATATGATAAGTTGTCCGCAGTGGAGATGTGCATCAGCTGTCGTCATTTGCAACATTATATGGTGAAGCCCTAGTGTCCTCCATGGTGGGACTCTCATACTATTGTGTGCACACCCATTTTACAGATCTGGCTTATTTGTGTACAGACTGTTTGTTGCTTGCCTCTCAGGTAGATGTACTTCGTCTTTGAAGGAAAGGATCGTTTCTACTTTGGTCAGGCTTCAGGATGGAAACCTGTTTCTAGAACACTATGGAGATGTGTAGGCAGGGCTTGACCACTATGAGCCCTGGTCCTAGTGCACAACCATAAGTTGTTTAGTACCTCTGCATCCTACCTACTCTATAAATGGTTATCCCAGTATTTGCTTTAATTTGTCAGTCCACAATTTGTGACTGATAATTTACAATTATGGATAATTTAAGTAGGGCCGTATGTCATAGCATTCCAGAACTTGCCTGTACATATTCTTATTTATTTATTTTGAAGTTAAGTAAGAAAATGCTTAATTTTGGAATTGCTGACTTATGTTAACACATGAATTGATCCATAAGGTGCTTTGCCTTGTCCACTCCCACTGCCTACCAGCTACTGCTTTTGTTTGGTTTTCTTTTAGATGTTTCTGTATGCTAATATTTGTCATTTATCAAATATAATATTGGAGCCATCAATTATGGTAAGGATCAGTGAAACAGAGTGTTGGATCTATCAAGTATGGCGTATAAATCCATCAAGTATGGTTGTTTAATCCTTCACAAGTATGATGTTGGATCCATCAAGTATGGTGCTAAATCCTTCACAAGTATGGTGTTGGATCTATCAAGAATGGTGTTAAGTCCATCACAAGTATGGTGTTAGATCCATCACAAGTATGGTGTTGAATCCATCGATTATGGTGTTAGATCCTTTACAAGTGTTTTTTTGAATCCATCGAGTATGGTTTGGATTCATCATGTTTGGTGTTAGATCCTTCACATGTATGGTGTCAGATCCATCAATTATGGTTTGGAATCTATTAAGTATGGTGTTGGATCCATCAAGTATGATGTCAGTTTTATGACGAAGGGCATTGCATCGTACAGTAGGGAATTAGGTCTATCGAGTAAAATACAGAATCCATCAAGTATGGTATTGTAACCAACAGGTATGATATTGTATCCAACAAGTATGGTATTGTATCCAACAAGTATATTATTGTATCCAACAAGTATGGTATTGTATCCAGCAAGCATAGTGTTTAGCAACTCATTTGATTTTAGCTATGACCACGCCACTGGTATATTTTTTTTTTTTTTTCGAAATTTGATAACTTAGCTAAAATAGTAATAGCAAAGGAACACCTGAGATCACTTAAGCAGCATGAGGCATACATTTATGAGAATTGATTGGCACACATAAAAGAGAAAAAAGGTAGAGATTGGAGAATGCAGACTGTAATTAGAACTGTGTTTTGCAAAGAATTTGCTACATTTAATCTATATTTAATAACAAAACATCACATGCAAAGGAACACTTGACACCAGTGAAATAGCAATGACACATACATTTGCAAATATTAGTCAGTACACATAAAAGTTAAAGAAAAGAAAGGTGTAAGCGGACAAGCAGGCTGTAACAAGAGCAGCGTTTTGCAAAGAATTTGCTGCATGATCGTGATAATGATGTTAAACAATACTTGAGAATCACTGAATCAGTACTTAGTTATCACAGTTAGATGTAAAAAGCACAAAGTTGGCAGACTGAACTCTCCGGTTTCTATTCATTCATTTGTGCATTCCTGTGTTTGCAAGCTTTATTTCTGTGTAGTGGCTGTGTTACACAGATATACATACATTTGTATATTAAATGGTACCGATGAATATTTGTGTCGTGCTGTCATTGCTGCCTGTGTTTAAAAATGTTTTATGATGTTGTAGGGCAGGTGAGTTGAGTCTAAGAAGATAGGGCCAGTCGTTAGTATAGTCACTATGGATTGTGCACTTAGGTTAGAATTTTTATTGTTGCTCCCAACAGAAAAAAAAGCCATCCCTTTATGGAGGGTTTAAACCCAGGTCTCAAAGCGAGTCAGTGTTCTCAACCACTTGACCAGCCGCTCCTCATGGTGAATATTTCATGATTGAATATTTGAATATTTTCTTGAGGACTGAGCAAAAGAAGCTCAATCCTTAACAGGCAAGAAAGCTGTTGTCCCTAATTTTAGCTTTTTAAAGTTGAATGGAGTATATGGGATCTGCACCTGTTTGTTTTGGCATCTGAAATGTGGCTCACAGGATCACTGTATTTAAGCAATCAGATTACAGACCCAAGAATCAAAACATTTTTTGTTTCAGTCAAAATATTGTATATTTTCTGATCATTGTTCATTTTATTTTGTGAAACGAGATTACAGTATAAGTGCTACCTGTGTTTGCCTGCTAAATTGATTTCATTAAAATTTTAGACTGCTGATACTACCTCCCATTTTCCCTTATGATCTTGTGTTTATTTTACTAAATTGTAGCTATTAATAAATTATCACAATTCTCCTACTCATACATTTAGAGCTAATATTCCTGCTTGTGTGACAATTCTTCAAAAATGTTTTTTTTTTTTTCAGTCCTGTTCATCTGCTTTGACTTGTCATTATACAGATAATTGTTTATTATTTTTCCAGTGGCCAGGTACATATGTGTTTTTGCAAAGCGTATTTTACTTTTGAAAGCAATCCACTTGTAGTTGTTTATAGTGTGTGACTGTTAAAGGTAATGATCAGAGCACCATTTGATACAAGTGAGAAAGCCCACCACAAGAGCTAAAAGGTAGCACCCACAGTTGCCTTCACCTCTCTAGTGGACACAGACAAGGCTAAATAGACTGTGACATGGCACCTTGGTAGTTTTCTAGAGGAGTGTTATGTTATGCTATAAGGAGGCATGAAAGTCATAGCCTATGGTGATGGAAAATTAACCCTAGGGATGAAGTTCCTTCTCTCCACAAAGCTTGGGCTGTATATTGTAGAGACTATTCTTTTGTTTGAATTCCCAATGAAATGTGACACCAGTATGTTTAGAACTTAAGATGCTGTAGAAGGGGAATACACTTGTAGAAGGGGACTGAGTGGTCTCAAGGCATGGCGTCCGCCTCGAGTGCTGGAGGTCCCGGGTTCAGGCCCCGGCAAAGGCTGGGATTTTTTCACATGAACTTCTAGTAATTTCCTCTGGACT